TCTCTCTCTCTCTCTCTCTCTCTCTCTCTCTCTCTCTCTCTCTCTCTCTCTCTCTCTCTCTCACACACACACACAGACACACACACACACACACAAACACAGACACACACTCACACACAAAATCAGTTTTATGTATGTTTGTCATTCTCCGACCGTTTGTCTTTCCTCTGATTCTTTTAACTTTTCCTGTGTCCAACTGAGCACCCTTAAGAAATGCCAAACAGTCGGTCATTCGTCGGCACTCGTAGTGGGCCGCTCGGTTTGGGATGTCTATGTTGGCTGTGTGTGATGACGTCTGAGCGACTCTCTGTCTCAGTGGGTGGTGGGAACCAACAGTCTGCAGGGTTCACCCGTGATGTGGATAGGTTATGTGCTGCTTTGCTCCGTGTTTGATGTGTCGACTACCTCGTTTGCGCTCCGCCGCTGATGACAGATGCTTGTCGGAGCGACTCCCTGGCTCAGTAGGTGGTGGGAACCAACAGTTTGCAGGGTTTACCCTTCGATGCGAGTAGGTAATGTGCCGCCTTGCTCCGTGCTGGATGTCAGGACTGCCTCGTTTGGGTTCCACCGCTGCTTTGCTGCCCGTTCCGCTTGCTTCACAGGTCGTTCTTGGCAAGCTGTTATCTTCGCTATGTGCTGTGGCCGTGTTGACGGTGTTGCCTTGTGCCTTGCTGCTGTGCTCCCTTGCCACCCTTCCGCTGGCCGTGCCTGCCGTGTCCTTACATGCGGACCTTGTAGTTCGGTTACCTTGTTGGTGTTGCCTTGTGCTTCACTGGATGCCATTGTTTGCTATGAGTGCTTCACTGCGGATGTTGCATACCGTATAGGTGCAGACCAGAACAAGAACCGGCCTTTCAATACAAAGTATAAGATAGCACAGCGGAAGACTTAGATACCAGTGATCCGAACAATCAATGTTGTAATGCAGCCCTGAACATACATCGTCATCATTGTTTCATAGTGTGAATGGGTCTGGCGCTTCACACAGGAAGACAGCGCCAGCCCAGAACATGCACAGACGAGGAGGAAGGGGATAGACGAAGAGGAGGGGAAAGATGGGAATGTCGTCAACACCAAGTCTTCGGCACAAGCCCAAATAGTCCCTCGTCGAACTGTCGGAATCCCAGATATCAAGTCTGGATCCAATGTCGTCAAGTCTCCAGTCACAACTCTGTCTCTCTCTGTCGTAGTCTGAGAAGTGAGGTGCCGAGAGGGTGAGAAGAGAAGGTGGACTTAGAAGAGGAAGAAGAAGAACTCTCTCTCTCTCTGTGTCCAGTACTAACCTGTGAAGTTGGCGCCTTGATGCAGGTACCGCGAAGATGGAGTTGGAGCGATGGCGCCACAGGTAAGTCACACTGGCCTCCGCCAGTCTCTCTCCCACTTTGCGATCTACTACCTCCCAGCGCCCAGCGCTGAAGACTACAGCTACAGCTATGGCGCCCAACGCCGAAAGCTACAGCTAGCGCTACCACTACTACCTTGTGCTCAAGACTACTGCAACGCTCCTCATGAGTGCTGCGGCCGAATCCTGAAGACTACCTGTGCCTACTGCCCCCCTCCTGCAGGGCGGGCCAGTCCTTTATAGTGCTAGCCCGTGCAGGAGGCTGGCCGTGCCAATGCCTCCCTGGCCTAGACCCTGCGGAAGCTTCCAGGCAAGAGCCTCAAAGTTCCCTGAAGTATCCCTGTAGGGAAACAGGCTGGGGCCTGTAGGCCCTGTCAGAAGGAAGCTTCCAGGCAAGAGCCTGGAAGTTTCCCTGTAGGGAAACAGGNTGTAGGCCCTGTCAGAAGGAAGCTTCCAGGCAAGAGCCTGGAAGTTTCCCTGTAGGGAAACAGGCTGGGGCCTGTAGGCCCTGTCAGAAGGAAGCTTCCAGGCAAAAGCCTGGAAGTTTCCCTGTAGGGAAACAGGCTGGAGGTCCGGGACGGGCCCTGCAAGGCCCGTGTGGCTGCACAGTATGCCACAGCCCCCCCTCCTTGAAAGACCGAGCTTACCTACGAGGGCGAAGCTGTCTGTCTGAGGGAGGGACCACAGTCCGGGTGGGAGGGGCAGGTCGTGGAGGTCCCTTGGCTAACCTCTGTCGCTCATAGTGCGCGTAGATCAGCGGTGCAGACGCTTTCAAATCTGCTCCTGAAATCCACCGAGTGTCGTCGGGATCGCATGCTCTGAATGTAACTTTGTACTGGCGCGGCTTGCTGCCATACTTGCGATCTGAGATGACGCGGTCAACCTCTTGATGACAAACCATAGAAGGAGGGTTCTGTGATCGTCGGCCCGGGAAGTCATCGCTCTTAGTTGGTGTATATGTTGCCAGCTTTGACGCATGAAAGACTGGATGGACCGTCAGATGCTCAGGAATGTCGATCACAAATGAAGGGCCAACGGGCTCATCGCCCGCAGCTGATGTCACTGTCCATGGTCCAAACCACTTAGGGAGTAGTTTGCGTGAGACATCCTGTTCCAATGCAAACTCTTTCGAGGAGACCCAAACTCGATCTCCGGCGCGGATGGGACATGGTACGCGGCGCCTGTTGGCTTGCTGCTGCATGCGGACTTGAGCCTTTTGCATGTTTGTGCGGGCTTGAGCCAGCAATTCCCTGTACTTCCGGACGGAAGCGGGAGAGCAAGCGGCGTCAATGTCGGCTGGTCGAGGGAGGAGAAGATCAGCGAAGATACGGCCTTTCCGTCCACCGTGGTGCAACCCGAATGGAGTCACACCGATCGCCGGGTGCACTGAAGTGTTGTAGCCGAACTCGATGTCGGGGAGGCGGTCAACCCAATCCTTCTGGTCCGGACGGATGAGCGTACGAAGCATCATTTGAGCGGTCTGATGTGCCTGCTCCATTTGCTCGTCTGTTTGTGGATGCCGAGCCGAACTGGGTTTCATCGTCGTGCCGGACTCCTGCATGAGAGAGGTCCAAAAAGTCGACATGAAACGAGTGTCGCGGTCGCTGACTATGTCCTCGGGTACGCCGTGGCCACAAATCCAACCGGTGTGCAAGAGGCGTGCCAGCTCGGGAGCCGTGGAGTAGTACTTGCAAGGAAGAAAACGTGCGTACTTGCTCAATCGGTCCACAACCGTGAGGATGCCGTCGTGCCCGAGCCGGTCTCGAGGAAACGGACCGGTGACATCCATAGCAATGGAGATACCGGGTTCCCGGGGGATAGGCATCGGGCGTAACTCGCCATAGGGATTGCGGTTGCGGGGTTTGCTGCGTCGGCAAACTTCRCAAGAATCGCAATACCGCATGACATCGGAAATGAGGTCGGGCCATCGGAATTGTTGTCGAAGCCGTGCAATCGTGCGATTGACTCCGAAATGGCCGGCGAGTCGCGAATCATGATACTCGCCAAGAAGGCGAGTCCGAAGACGGTGGTCGCGTGGGACACACAGTAAGTCCTTGCCTCTCGAGTGGAGGAGCAAGTACCCGTCGGCAATGCGATAGTGGCTGGCCGGCGGGTGATCCGAATATAGCTGCGCATACAACGTAGCAAACTATGGGTTAGACTGATAGCCCCTGATGAAGTGTCGCTGGAGGTCCTCGACGAACGCGAAGGCGTGATGCGTCATAGCGCAAAGATCAGGTCGTCGCGAAAGTGCATCTGCTGCGTGATAGGAGAGGCCGTCAACGTGTTTCGGTGTGAAGTCAAACTGGTCGATGAAGTACATCCACCGTCCAATCGTGCTGCTCACGGTGTCCTGCGTCTTGTAGTAGGTCAATGGGTTATTGTCCGTGACCCATGTGAACCTACGACGCCCAAGAAGGAAGTGTCGCCATCGCTTGAGAGCCATGACGAACGCAAGCAGCTCCTTCTTCCTTGCATCATCCAGAGAATTGATGGGAGGCACTTTGTGGCTGAAATACTCCACAGGGTGCCAATCCTCGCCGTCGTGCTGCTCCAAGACTGCCCCAATGCCGTAACCGGAAGCATCAGTCGTCACCCTCGTAGGCAGAGTGGGGTCGTAGATGCTAAGGATGGGTGCCATGAGCATGGCCGTCTTGAGTGCTTGGAAAGTCTGGCGCGCGTCGTCATCGAATACGAATGGCACCTTTGGCGATTGTAGTCTCGTCAGAGGTGAGGCAATCCTTGAGTATCCGGTGATGAAACGCTGATAATAGCCTTGCAACCCGTCGGAACTCCGTCGTCATAGCCGCTTGGAAAGTGGCTGGGGCATTTGTAAGGCCAAATGGCATGACCAGCCATTCGAAATGCCCATACCGAGTCTTGAACGCGGTCTTGTAGCGATCCTCCTTGCGAATCTCGAGTTGGTGGTACCGTGACTTGAGATCCAACTTGGAGAAGAATTGGGCGCCGCCCAATCGCTCGAGAAGGTCGTTGATGCGTGGGAGAGGGCCGGCGTTCCTGATCGTCTGCGCGTTAAGCTTGCGATAATCGATGCACAACCGCATGTCCTTGTTCTTTTTCTGGACGAAGAGAACAGGAGCACTGTATGACGATGAGCTAGGCCGAATCCAGCCTTTCTCTAGAAGGTCGTCGAGTTGTGCCCGAAGAACACTTAACTCTTCCTCGCTCATTCGGTAGATGCAACCGCGCGGAGGTACGGCCCCGTCCTCGAGGATGATCTC